CATCGCTCAACGTTGCTGTTCGACTTGCAATAACTCTTGTATTCCTAAACTCCTCTTTAAACCCGATTCTTTACTGTTGGAAGATACATGGAGTGAGGCAAGAAGCAATGAACATCCTGAAACCCCTCAGTTGTAGAATTCCTCGATTTAGACGAAAGAGGAAATCTCTAAACATTTCGCAAAGTTCTGGCAACAGAAATCTACAAGAGACAAGTCTAAGATAGCGAACTTTTGCACAAATTGCTTTTGCGCACATGCCGTGCAAAACTGTTAACTTAAATTTATCGTATCAGTTTTGTTTAAAATTCTATTGAAATTGTGTAATCGTGAAGAACGTTTTTGCGCATTTTTGCAGCCGATTCTAGAGCACAGCTTTCAAATGCGAATAACACATGTATAACCAGCATATTAGAGGGTCGTGAAGAGTGGTCGACAAATATAAATTTCACTGCTACTGGTCCCAACCTAAATTTGGCCGTAGCCTGTTACCAGTTCCCATTCCCAATTCATTGCACTAAGCGCGTCAGAGAAAGAAAGGGCCAGAAATGCACTCAATAACTTGTAAGTAGCTATTTCAACTAGCTAATACACTGAGCAAGGTGAAGTTTTATTAAAATTGATCAGAAAATCCCTGTTCCGTAATTTATTTTTTTCCATTTCGAATTTGTAAAATACAGTCCACGATTCTTTCCCTGAGGACGACAATCTGGGGCTGGCCTGATTACAAACTAAAAACAAGCTGAGGGTTAATTAGAGCCTGACAATTCCATTAAATCCAGAGAGTTAAAATAAAAGGTGCTTGGAAACCCACCGAACAGCTGTTCAAAGAGAAGAAAATTTGCAACTTTCTCTACATCACATAACAGCATTACCTGTATGCGAAGCCGCAAAAGTAAGCCATTCAAGGGAGAGCCTTGCTGAAAAGACATGTTTAATTTGAAATTAAACTTGAATAGCTCTAGAAGTTTTTTTTTTTTTTTTTTTTTTTTTANGATACATGGAGTAAGGCAAGAAGCAATGAACATCCTAAAACCCCTCAGTTGTAGAATTCCTCGATTTAGACGAACAAGGAAATCTCTAAACATTTCGCAAAGTCCTGGCAACAGAAATCTACAAGAAACAAGTCTAAGATAGCGAACTTTTGGACAAATTGCTTTTGCGCACACGACGTGCAAAACTGTTAATTTCGATTCATCGTATCATTTTTGTTTAAAATCCCATTGAAATTGTGTAATCGTGAAGAACGTTCCTGCGCATTTTTGCAGCCGATTCTAGAGCACAGCTTTCAAATACGAATAATACATGTATAACCAGCATATTAGGGGGTCGTGAAGAGTGGTCGACAAATATAAATTCCACTGCTACCGGTACCAACCCAAATTTGGCCGTAGCCAGTTACCAGTTCGCAATCCCAATTCATTGCACTAAGCGTGTCATAGAAAGAAAGGGCCAGAAATGCACTCAATAACTTGTGAGTAGCTATTTCAACTAGATAATACACTGAGCAAGGTGACGTTTTATTAAAATTGATCAGACAATCGCTGTTCCGCAATTATTTTTTTTATTTTGAATTTGTAAAATACAGTCCTCCATTTTTTCCCTCAGCAAGACAATCAAGGGCTGGCCAGATTACAAAGTAAAAACAAGCTGAGGGTTAATTAGAGCCTGACAATTCCATTAAATTCAGAGAGTTAAAATAAAAGGTGATCATTAGACTATCATTTAACAGGCTTGGAAACCCACTGAACAGCAGTAGTCATATACGCTTGTTGGGGCCGTAACCAATCAGGAGCCAGGGATCATACCACGTGACCAAGTTTTTCCCATACATTCTCTTAAATTGTAAAATCCAAGATGGCCGCCAGGTAGGTCAAACATGGCGCCCATGCCCAAATAAGGGCAACATGTCCAAATAAGGAGAACATGAGATCGAGGTTGTCACGGGCATGCCCAAATAAGGAGATAGACCGGAAGTGAGTTTCAAAATTGATTTTT